CTTGCGCATTACTTCAGCTGGAAGGCTGTCTATGCGGTTAGGCCCCGCATTCTATTTCCTTTGGTTTCTATTATTTCTCGAATATTATAATCATATGTAATTATCTATATGTAATTTTCCACGCATCTATATGTAATTTTCCATGATGTTTCACCACTTAGTAGCCCTTGCATCATATTTTTGGCATTAAAGACTTGTCCACCACTGTCCCGTTGGAATGACTCTCTAATCTGCTTCCATTCACTGCAGAGGAATAGTGTGTGTTCGACACTGTCAACTTCCTTGCAATACATACACAAATTTGAGGTGGATCTCTCCCTTCTATGCAAATAGTTGTTAAAGCATCCGTGCCCTGTCAATGCCTGTGTTAGGAAATAGTCCGTCTCTCCAAAGCTTCTGTCTAACCAGATATTAATGTCTGGTATGAGATCATGTGTCCATCTACCATATCTATCTAGATCCCACTCCTTTTGCCATTCAATCATCAGTATGCTTCTTGCCTCCAGTTTTGATGTCCCTTTGTATCTCTCTCTTCTCTCCTCTACAAGTAGGTGAATAGGAGGCACCCCGGATATGACATTTAATGCTTCAGCGGAGACGGTTCTATATGCACTGCAGATCTTGAGGTTCAGTTTACGGTGTATAGCTTTAAGTTTTTGCCTTATATATCCCTTTGATATTGCGAAGTGCCACACTGGGGCGGCATATAACAGTTGAAAGTGTGCTACACAGGCTAGGATTCTACGTTTGGAAGCAAGTGGCCCTCCTATATTAGGCATCAGCCTACCCAGTGCGGTCAAAGTTCGTTCCGCCTTTCGTATAACTTGATTTATATGCTCGCCGAATGTAAGCTTTGAATCAAGCCAAACTCCAAGATATCTTATTGCATTCTTTGGTGAAATTGTTGTACCGAGAAGCTCAAATGATATATGAGAGATATCCTCTTGGTGGTAATAAAACCGCTTCAGTTTTGTTCGGTGCTAGTTTTAAACCTTTGCGCTCGATCCAGTTGGCCACTCTTTGTAGCCCTGCATTAGCAACACTCATGAGTGTCTTTTCGTTTTTGGCCGTTACCACCATCGCTACGTCATCGGCAAAGCCGATTAGTGTTACTCCTTCGGGCATTGCCGTTTCCAGTAGGTCGTTGTACTGGATATTCCATAGTGTTGGGCCAAGTACTGACCCCTGTGGCACTCCACTGGTTACGTTAATCTGCCTTTTAGCAGTATCGTCTTCAATTAAAATTGTCCTTTCAGAGAGATAAGATGCCACCATGTTAGTCAGAGACGAACTTATACCCCATTTTTGCATTTCGTTCAGAATGATCTGCCACGAAGCACTGTTGAACGCATTTGCACATCTAAAGTAATTACTGCGCATAATTTTCTATTATTTGGTGCATAATCTGCTGCTTGTCTGGCAATAAGAAGTACATGTTCGATCGCATGTATGTTTGTCTACCTTTTCGAAAACCATATTGGCGCGCTGAAAGAGTTCCTATTCGATCGAGTTCTTCATTTAGTCTAATAAGGATAAGATGTTCATATAGTTTTCCTTCTATATCTAAAAGACATATCGGTCGGTATACCGCTGATCCATCTTCTGAGTTAGAGTTTTTAGGAATCAGTACCAGTGCGGCTTTCTTCCACTTAGGAGGAAAGAGCAAGTCTCTTGCTAGGCGATTATAAACCTTCGAAATATACTCTGGTTTTTTTGTCTATTAATTGCTTAAGTATTTCGACAGGCACGTTTCCAGGTCCAGAGGCTTTTCCGTTTTTTAATTTATCACAGGCTTGTTTCAATTCATTTACACGAAAATCTACAAAACTGTCTCTAATATCACAGTTAAATATCATGTTTGGATGAACAGGGAATAGTTTTTTAGCTTCCTCTGCCATTGCTTCAACCGCTCAGCTTTGATTTAGAATTAAATATATATATATATATATATATATATATATATATATATATATATATATATATATATATATATATATATATATATATATATATATATATAATATAATACATATAAGTTATATATTAATTAACGATTGGATTTTGTTTATTTTTTTATGTTTGTTTTTGATTGATGCCCTCAAAACTTGCCCTTAAAAAAGTGATTATTTTTAAAGTTTACCTAATACCCTCTCACGGACAAACGAACTACTTTTAATATAGAGGTAAATTGTGTCAAATGAACTTATTTTGATCTCAAAAATACGTAGTAGTTCTATGTCCACGGAATATTGGAACTCCCTATATATTTTGTACGTCTGCTTTGGAACACAAAAATCTCTAATTTTTCTTTCTCAAAAAACTATGGAATGTTGTGGTTTTGGCAAGAGATAAAAAATGTAGTAAATACTAGAAGGACCTTTTTACGAAGAGAAATCAGTGGTCGCACGGCGGTGGAGTTGGAAAATATTTCTCAGGAACTCCAAATCTTCTTTAAATCGAAATATTGGTTCTTAAATATCTTAAAAAGTGATTATTTATTAAAGTTTACATAATGCCCTCTCACGGACAAACGAACTACATTTGTATAGAGGTAAATTGTGTCCAATGAACTTATTTTGATTCCAAAAATACGTGGTAGTTCTATGTCCACGGAATATTGGGACACCCGGTATATTTAGGCATATACTCATATCAAAATAAACAAAAAAATAGAGATGCTAGAAATTTTACTGCAGATATGAAAAGAAGGCTCATCTAGAAAATTTAAAGTGTCCATTGAATAATATCATAGCAAGAAAAATGTAGACAATTTATGAACATTGTAAAGATGTACACGATTTGGTAAGGATGAATAAATTAAGACTGGAGAATAACAAGAAAATTGAAATCAATGAATACTGCGCTATCACTAAAACGATTCAGTTACCTAGAGTAACGATTAAAATTTAATAAACCCCGTCCGGTTTTGACCACCCGCTATCTAGCTGGCATGGAAACATATATCATACATTACTAAAATCCAGTGGCGCAACTAGAAAGGGCTAGGGAGTGCTTAGCCTTTCCAACTTCAAAATTAGCTCGTGCGGGTTGTTTAATATTGGTTTTAAACTCAAACAAATATACACAGAACCAAACTTATATGGAATAACTCTTTATGTCTGATTAAATTTCTTGCAAGGATAAAAATTGGTATACAACTTTTAGATAAGGCTTTTTGTTGTAAATATATATGATAATAAAGAATAAACGACTGCCGCGACTTATTTTCTTTTGAATTTTATGTTCAGTAAATCACGATTGTACGGTAATTTTCATTCGATCTAAAAAAATTAAAAAAGTGCCTTAGTAGAATTAAGAAATGTACAGAGGAGAAGCATTATTGCTCTCACCGAATAAGGAATGCCACGGTGTTGTATCGAAAACATATGCAAGATATTTGGAATTAGAAACACATAAGAATAGGCTCAGACAAAGTCGTCAAAGAGTCACAACTAAACAACAAGACCGCCTTGTGTGCAAAATTGCTAGAATAAATCCCAATGTTTCTCATCCAGAGCTACAAAGACAACTTCTGGCAGATACAGGTGTAAACGTTTCAGTTGAAACCATAAAAAACGGCTTCGTGCTCGAGGGTTTTACAGTAGGAGTGAGTTACGGATCCCACAGTTACGTCGGCAAAATAAAATTGACCAGCTAAATTGATGCCTTTAACATCAAAACTGGACAACTGAGAATTGACAAAGTGTTCTTTTTTCGGACGAGGCCAGAATTGGCCTAAGATCGCATAACCATCGAATTCGGGTTCTCAGAGCTCCAGGAAGACGAGCGAGACTAGTGAGAGACTGGGCTGCCAAATCTGTACCAAGATATAAAGGAGGAACTGTAATGTTCTGGGGAGGTATTAAACTCGGAGCAACAACTCCAATGTTGCCACTTCAAAAAACTTTTAACGAGTCGGAGATATGTTGATTTGGTGCTAGAACCAATCGTTAGTCTTTGGAGAGCTACAATTGGGGATAACTTTAACTTCATACACGAGAGATAATCAAAAAAAAAAATTTTAATAATCTCACACACTGGTCAAAGGTCAAGTATTTAATATTTTATAACTTTAAAATTATATCTATTTACTGCGTACTGTTCTAAAATTGTCCATGTATATTCTTTTTGTAATTTTAAAGAGTTAATTTTTTTTGAATTGTATTATTTGTATTGTGTAGTTTTTGTTGTTTGTATTTTTTTTTGTGATTTTGTTGTTTGTGAGTGCTTTGTCGATGAAGCTGTTTTGGCTTTTTGCACAATAAAGCGTTGTGTTGATGTTGTTGTTTGTTGTTATTGTTGTTGTTGTTGTTGTTTGTTATAGTGCACCTCCCCATACCAGCAGAGTGACTAGAGAATGTCTCGAAACGGAAGGTGTCATAGTTTTGGACTGACCTGCATGTTTACCAGATCTAAACCCTATCGAACACTTGTGGGACTAGTTCAAAAGAAGGGTGAGAGCTCGCCAAAACAATCCAGGAAATCTTGCACGGCTTATTCATGAAGAAGCGCGGATAGAAGCTTGCATAAGGGCTAGGGGTGGCAACAAGGAATATTAAAATTATCAATTTTCTTTTTGTTTTTGCTTTTTGGCCATTACAAAATTAAATCTTAATTACGTTTTAGAAAACCAAAAAAAATCCAATTTGTTTATTTTGGAAAATGATTATTTTTTTTATTGCTATGTGGATTATTTTTTATTAAAAGTCATTGGTAGGACTGAGTTTTATTCATAAACACAAAATTTTCATACGTCCCAAAAATTATAACAAATAATAGATGATTCCATATAAGTTTGGTTGTGTGTTTTTAAAGTTGAGTCCCCTCAAAGGACTTGACTGGAAGACTTGACCTTGACTAAAGGCGGTAGCATTATCAGCAATATCTTACCTATATTATACATCAATATTACCCTTAAGAAAATTACATTCGGTTGGCTCGTGCATGTTTCTTACAGCTTAATCTAAACATTCGTAATAAATGAATAAGAAATAGCTTACCACCTATCATTCCCCAATTAATATTTCCTGGCAATTGATACTCCATCCTTCCACCATACATTCCGTTAACTATCGACCCTCCACCTCTATTCTGAATTTGTTTATCAAGGTCTTTTTGATAGATCGATGGAATAGCATAAGCGGGTATTGGCAAAGGGAAATCATAAAGAAAGGGTATGTCAGGTTGATCATGTTCAGGCTTCAATGTAGTTCGAACGCCGTATTGACGTTGACCGGTAGCGAGAATAGGTTTCTTTCCTGCTTGGCGTAAAGAACTAGATCCGAACATTTGCCGTGCCGCTCCTGGATGAACAACCGACGACGTCTGGTTGACTTGGTATTCTAGGTCGCATTGTACTGAAATAGAATAAAAATTAGTTAAAACTAGCTGTAAAAGCTGAGTCAACGATAGAGTAAAGTCTTACCTGTATAAAACTACTAAGAAAAAAAAATAAATTTACGACGTTATTAACGTATAAATGGTCTCTTAATAAAAATCGCTACGAGTAAAAGTTATCGAGATATTTGAAATCGAAATTATCAATACCTACATCATTGACATAAATCAAATATGTTGACTAAATAGTTAATAGACCGAAATCATAACTTTGAAATGTTTGTGTGCCAAATCATCATTTTTTCGAAGAAAATTTTATGGTTAACTTAAAAAAATAAAGATTTCCCGAATTTATTATTTCAGCCAAATAACTATCTACTCAACATGTTTATTTTTTTGTCAACAATGACAGGTATTGACTATTTCCATTCTAAATACCTCGAGAACCGTTGCTCGTAATGATTTTTACCACGAGACATTTCTTTTTCGTAAAAAATTACGAAAATGTATATTTTTTTTACTCAGTAGTTCTATACAGGTACCGACAAAAAGTAATTACTCTTCAAAACAGTTAAAACACTTATAGGTGACGCCCTCTACAAATAGGAGTCATAATGACATCAAAATCAAATTGTTCATGTCAAAAAACTAACAGACACCCCAATTTTCATCCAAATATTGACGTTACTTGAGAAATTATTTAGAAAAAATCAAAATAAAAATGAAACTTCTACACCCTGTATCTCCGAAACTAAGCAGTTTAGGACATATATTTATAAGAACTTTTTTACTTCTTTTTATCTGCAGGATATGCTACCGAAGTTTCCGGAATACAGTTCGGACCATCCTGTATAATGTTATATACCTAAAATTGATAGTTTTTATAATACTTGAATTTGTTTAAACAAATACTAGATTTCAGTGTTGTAAAAAATGTTTAGTGGTGTCATTGTTTATGAAGTTAGACTACTAAAATTTAGTAGGAGGGTTTTATAGAGATGAAGAAAAAGATATACACTGTCAATTTTAAAACTTCCCACCCTTAATATCTTTCTTGCAGTTAAAAATATGATTTTTTTTTCTTTCCACACGTCAATTTTATTTGTAAGGGGTACATTTTAAATTCATATTTTTAGCCTTTTAGGAGGGCTACAAGCCCCTAGGAGGGGTAGATGTCACCCTTACAATCTTAAATCGGAATGGGGGTCAAGTGGTACATCGTTTTAAAGGAAGTCGAAGATGTGGCACTTGACCCCCATTCCCATTTAAGATTGTAAGGGTGACATCTACCCCTCCTAGGGGCTTGAAAGAAAAAGGCTAAAAATATTCATTTAAAGTGTCCCCGTTACAAATAAAATTGACGTGTCTTTCCGATTTTTCATATTTTTAATTGCAAAAAAGATATTAGGGTGGGAAGTTTTAAAATTGACAGAGTGTTTGTAGAGATATTTTAGTTAGATGCTACCGGGTGTTCAAAATATATTTATGAATTCCAACTAGGTACTTAAAATTAAAAAATCTCAAATTTTTTTAAATAGCACACCCTATATAATATATATTATATAGGGTATTATTAATAATAATAATAAAATTTTTTAATGTCGATCAAACCGGTATGACGACCGTTCCTAAAAGTTTACCAAAAATGTACGAAAGAAAATAGAACAAGATGGATTGTTAACTTCGGCGGAATTAGGTCAGATGGTAACTACTGTTTTCTGTGTGAGTGCGAATGGATCATATATGCCCCCAATCAGAGCTGCAAGCTCACAAAAAGCTTAAGTCTTTTTTGGATTTAAATAATTTTAATGACTTAAGTCACGTGATTTTAAGTCATTTTTCGAAAGCTAACTTAAGACTTAAGATTTAAGTATTTTTCAAAACGATTTATGATTTAAATATTTACTCCGAAATAGTAAAAGATTTAAGTCTTTTTAGAAAAAACTCAAGTTATTAAAAAAAATTAAGTCTTTATAAAAGACTTAAGTCATCAAAAATATTTAAAACTAAACGTTCTCTAACCCAGTGTGAGTACATATTATCAAAGCAAAACCTTTGAAGGCGGGTGTAAAAGGACAATAACTCACAATCTTTAAGTTGTTTAATTAATTATGCGGTTTAATTTAATGCTTAAAAAAGCAAGAGGGCGACATGTTTCGGGAATTTAAACTATTCCCATCATCAGGTCCAAAGCTAAAACAATTACAGAGGTCAAATTTATAAAATACAATCACAACAAGTTAAAAAGTCAATTTTTTTTTACAAAGTCAAAAAGTTATATCTATCACAAAAATTGTTCAATCACAGATAACAATATGGTATGCTAAATTTGAAAAATTAAAAACAACTAGACTAAAAATCATAAGGTGAGGGGAGCCGTATAATCAGCTATAATTAGATAAATTGAAAGAAAAAACTAGGCAATAATCAAATCATACCTCAATGCACAATTCAAAGAAATTTACTTAAGCATTAGTTAAATTTATTTTGAGTCATATACAGGGTGAGTTTCCTACGATGTTCTCTATTGGTATCTCGGAAACTACTGGAGATAGAGAGTCGGTTAAATGGGGAAAGAATTGCAGTTTTGTGGGGTCATAAATATGCGCCTTTCAGATTTTTGATAAAATACATGGCTTACTAGATATTTCGAAAAAAACAAATTTTGACTATTTTAAAAATTGTCCCTAATTCCATTATAAGCTATGTTAGACAAAAAGTTTTCAGATAAAAGTTGTAGATAATCTCATCCTTAATGAGTCTGTGTTCTCCGTTTTTTTCTAAAAACGACATACAAATATATGTTTTTTTAAATGGAAACCATAGTTGGCCATGACTTCATAAAAAGCGTCATTTTTTAAGATTTTTAGTGATATAAGCTATAATATCTTTTCTTCGAAAAATTACTGAGTTATAGCCGATTCTTATAATTTTTAAACATTTTCACTTAGCCATGGAAACGACTTCAATCGCCGTTGCTCTCAGAAATGTGAAGCCGTCACATTCAAATTTTGTAAATTAAAATAAACACAAATTGTAAATATGTATTTTTCAAATGAAGAAAAGCGTGTTGATCTCGCACATCAATAGAGTGGTTCCAACATGACTTTCATTATGATACACCACCCCCCACCCCCCATAATGAAAGAAATGTGAAAATTATTTATATCATAATAATTATACAAACGCAGGGATAAGAAAAGGTGGACTAATTGCATGGGCCTCCTCGATCACCTGGTCTATCCATTTTAGAATTTTTTATGCGGTATAGTTAACAATAACGTTTACAAAATAACTTATGAATTAAGAGAGGCACTCGAAGTGGCGGTACGAGAGAAGTTTAATTAAGTCGACAGGTCCTTCTGTGAGAATAGGTAGTAATTCAGTTTTAAAAAGATGCAACTCCCAAAACAATGGCGGATTTTTTGAACATTTTCTAAAATAACTTAAAGTGTATGTAGTGATATTATTTATTTAAGTTTTGTAATTTATTCTGACTTTTTATAAGTTATAAATCATAACTGAATAAGAATAACATGCAATCTAAGTGAAATTAGCCAAGAAAGATAAGAATTGGCTATAAGTAAATTTGGTGTGTGTCGTAGTGAAAGTCATGTTGAAACCACTCGATTGATGCGCGAGTATCTAAATTTAATTTGTCATGTCTTGAAAACCGTTCTCTAAAAAACGTAATATTCACCGGTCAACCCATCCTCGAAAATGTATGGTCAAGAAAAGTTGAACCAATAATCCTACACGCTTTTAATTTACAAAGTTAGGATGTGAGACCTTCACCAAAGAATATCTTAATACCCTTCACATTTATCAGAGCAAAGACGATAAAAACTTGTTTCCATGGCTAACTTAAGTGAAATTGTTTAAAAATGATAAGAATTGGCTATAACTCAGTAATTTTTCGAAGAAAACATATTATAGCTTATATCGCTGAAAAGCTTAAAAAATGGCGCTTTTTATGAAGTCATGGCCAACTAGGGTTTCCATTTAAAAAACATATGTTTGTGTCATATGTCAAAAATGACAGGCTTTAGAAAAATATGGAGGACACAGTCTCATTAAGGATGTGATTATCTACAAAACTGCAATTCTTTCCCCATTTAACCGACTCTCTATCTCCAGTAGTTTCCGAGATACATATAGAGAACATCGTAGGAAACTCACCCTGTATATTTTTATATATTTTTTTGTATTAGTAATGTAAGTTGAGACAACTTACATTACTAATTTCTCAACTTACATTACTAATACAAAAAAAATATATAAAAAAATATATCACTCAAAATAAATTTAATTAATGCTTAAGTCAATTTCTTTGAATTGTGCATTGAGGTATGATTTGATTAATGCCTTGTTTTTTCTTTCAATTTATCTAATTATAGCTGATTATACGGCTCCCCTCACCTTATGATTTTAGTTTAGTTGTTTTTAATTTTTCAAATTTAGCATACCATATTGTTATCTGTAATTGAACAATTTTTGTGATAGATATAACTTTTTGACTTTGTAAAAAAAATTTTGACTTTTTAACTTGTGATTGTATTTTATAAATTTGACCTCTGTAATTGTTTTAGCTTTGGGCCTGATGATGGGAATAGTTTAAATTCCAGAAACATGTCGCCCCCCTTGTTTTTTTAAGCATTAAAATTTAAATTAAACAACTTAAAGATTGTGAGTTATTGTCCTTCTACCCGCCTTCAAAGGTTTTGTTTTGAAAAATATTTAAGTCTTAAAGTTTTATAAAAGGCTTAAGTATGATTTTTATAATAAATTTTTAACAGCAGCATTTCTTTTTCACACACCTAGTATAGTGCAAACCTAGTCTTTTAAGCTCCTGAAATACACGGCGAATTTTAAAATTTTGCATTTTTCGACCCTCTTCGTATCTTGATTTTAGTTGCGCCACTAAATTTTACTTGGAAATCTCTATGGAGCTCGATTTTCACCTGTTCGATAAGTTATAATGTCCGAGATATGAGGGAAGTCGAAAAATGTAACAATTTCA